ACAATAAAAACGGGGAGTCTGTGGAGAAAATATCTGAAGGCCGTCTCATGACCTCTATTCCTACTGGAGCTTTGAATCATACTTGAAGTTTATGATGAAAGGATAGGACCATGAAGAAAGATGCAGAACACCGTTAGGTAGTCAAGGATTTCAGAGCCAGCTGGCAAGCAGAGGATCTCATGTGACCATTCACAGGGGTCAAGGATTTGGGCTGTTGTAATAGAGAGTTATTAAGCATTTAAATGTGCAATCTCTTTGCAGTTCTAGAGTGTAGACTTACGTTATTCACCATGAGAGAGGATTTTTGTATTTTGCCAGAGATTTCACAGTGACATTTTTTTGCAAGATTGGTTATAGGTTGTTGATATAATTTTATTGTTGGAGGTCAACAGTGTCAAAGAGCTAGGTGTAATGTTTGTAGAATCTGAGGTGGAGAATATGGATAGGAGTTTGTGTTCTCTGTGTCAATTATTCAGTCCCTTAGGCTACAGCATGGGAACACAGGACCTTCTAGGACCACCTTGGAGCAGGCCCAGATCTCATTTACACACTTCTGTCAACTGAATACTGAGAAGGCATCCACAGGGCCATACACTTATTAGACAATGAACAAAGATGGCTGACACCCTCAGTGACTACAGCTCTGTCTTGAGACTACATCCACCCACACTATATCTCATTGGATGCAATTGCTGGATTTTGCACTGGCTCTACCATCAACTTCCTGTGGCTCTGGGCATGTTATTTCAATACTTTGTGTCCATTTTCATAACTGAGGAGCAAGCATCACATTGGGACGTTTCATTAGAAGGCTTTTAAGATTCTTTATAGCCCAAAGATTATGCATTTCTAATTAGCCCCAATGGGCTACAAGGAGAGAGATACTGAGTTTCCTAGAAGGAAGAACCTTTATAGCAGAGTCTAGAAATGGAATGGGCTTAAATTCAAGAAAGGGTTAGGCAAACACTTTGCAGGAATGCTACAGAGGGGATTCAAGTCTTGTATGGAGAAGTGGGTGTGTTGTGACCAAATAGTGTTTAAAATTCTTTCCAATCTGTGAGAGCCATAACGTTATGGACTGTGATTTGGAGCAAACCGGTGGTGTAATGCCTGACAGGTCCATTTCATCTTAATGAGCATCATTTTCTTTTCTTTTTTTGTTTTTTTGAGGAAGATTAGCCCTGAGCTAACTGCTTCCAATCCTCCTCTTTTTGCTGAGGAAGACTGGCCCTGAGCTAACATCCGTGTCCATCTTCCTCTACTTTATATGTGGGACGCCTACCACAGCATGGCGTGCCAAGCAGTGCCATGTCTACACCCAGGATCCGAACCGGTGAACCCTGAACCCTGGGCCACTGAAGTGGAACATGCGCACTTAACCACCGCGCCACCAGGCTGGCCCCCAGCATCATTTTCTTCAGCTATATAATGGATCTATAAAAATCCCTGTTATGCTTTTGTACAAGATTGTTATCAATCTTTGTAAGCTAGTCAGATGGGAGAAATTTTTTATTTTTTGCTGTTATATTTTATCTTGTTTTAGTTTTCGTTACTTTATGTTGTTATATATTTCATTACATATCTAATATATAAATGAATATGTATTATGTATATTATATATTTTCTTTTAGTTCATTGTTATTATTAAGAACCCTGATGACTTCAGCCATATTAGAGAAGTAGAATAAATAGAAAAGAAGTAATAGTAACCCAGTGATTGTACATTGGCTCTGCCATCATTTGGAGAAGTTGATAATTCAGGTGGGAGAAGTGGATTGGAAGCAACTTTGTAAGATTGTTTGCCCTATCCCCTGTCTCTATTCCTAATCCAAACAGATCAGTCACAGTCCTACTTTTAGGAGATTCCTTCCATATGCATCTTTGGAAACCTCAGCCACTTCTGTCATTATCAAGTGTCATTTAAAACTTTAAAGTCATTATTCTGCTTCCAAAAAACCATGTGTCATATGTATGTATTTGTATGTTTAGTATGTTATATGCTTTATGTGATCACATATATACATATATATATATACACAAAAATATAATTCAGAAACCCTATGTGTATGTGTACACACACATCTGTTCATTCACACATATGTGAATACACACGTGTATAAGCATGTTGTTTATGCATATCTTGCTTATGGCTTGCAATAACAATGCCTCTCTAACACTATGTTAAGTGCCTTGATTTTTTGAAGGGCTTTAGAAAACAAAGAGAAGAGACCATATGACTCCAGATAGAAGAGACAGTGTTGTGTTTGGTTAATATCCTAAAAGGAGACTGTAGAGGGAAAAGAGATTATTTTGGTTAATTTGTTGCTTACCAGTAATACTTTTGCCCTTTATATGAAATACTCTGCAAATATATTATGGATGAAATCCAGATATTCTTCAAGGCTCCTAGAGCTGAAAAATATTTTAAAAATTTTCTAGTTCAACCTGTTTCTAGTTCAACCTATGTTATCAATGAGACCCAGGGAGGAAAAAGGACTTGTCCAAGGTCATGTAGTGAGTTGGTGATAAGACTGAACAAGGATTCAAATCTTGTGACTTCTAGCCTAGTGCTCTTTCTGTTATCTGAGACTTGAAGATTTTTGTTCAGCATAGATTTTCCTCTGTAGCCTCAACACCTAGTACAGTGCCTGATCCATGATAGGTGCTCGGTAAATGTTAAATAAATATGCAATGGCATTGGTTGTACTGGGCTTTGCACTTATTCCTGGGTAAATTGTAGAGGATATCTGTGTTTTAGGCCAAGAGACATTCTGGGACAAGGTATGAACTAGAGTTGGGGAAATGATCTGAGTTCCAAATTGAAAAAAACAATTTGATAATTTTTCCTCTGCAACCTCCCTCATTCACAGGATGATTCACTTTCAGAAGTGAAATCTAGAACTCATCTGGGAGCCCTATTCCATTTGCTGTGCAACTATTCCTTGGCAAACAGGGGTTCAGGAGCTAGTATTTTCCTGTGGAAGAAGAGATTTCTCAAAGACGTCAAGTACTCCTAACTTGACATTATTTCACTAATCAATATGATGTACTAGCCTTGAGGATTGCAGCAGCACCGATACTGTGGGTGTGGCCCAGTTTTAGAACACCCATGGCACTGTAAATGAACCCACTGCAATTGGATACAGGGCTTGCCTTCTACAAGTTGACACCCAAAGGCTGAATGGCACTCATAGCACTATCCTTTCTTTGCACATTTTATCGTCCTCAGTTCGCAACAACAAAAAAAGCTATTAGCGAATTATATGTTGTTTATACAAATAAAATCCTGTGATGTGATAGAAAGAGTACTGGCCTAGAGGCCTTAGTTTTCTCATCTATTAATTAAAAATGATGATAGTACCTACCTCAAAGCACAGCTGAGGCAATTCATTTAAATAGCACATGTAAACCCCCTAATGCAGGTTTGTTTCATAGTAGATGCCTATTAAATGGTAGTTTTCTTCCTTCAGGGGCCTCCAATTCAGTGTTCTTCAGGAAAGTCACCTCCCCAGAACTCATTCTTGGAATGAAAGGGTTGTACTATGATGATTTTTAATAGTTGTTTCAAGCCCAGCATTTTGGAGTCCTTTGACAAAGGGAAAGGAAGGAGGGAGGGATGGAAGGAGGAAGAAAGGGAAGAAGGGAGGACAGGAGGGAGGGAGGAAAAGGAAAGTTTTGCTGACCTGGTTACTAGTGAATCTCCTACATATAGTATAACCTACTATAATAGATGTGTTTTCTGTGCCTGATGTACACATTTTAGGCTGAGTGAAGGGAGAGGAAAGGCAAGATGTAGCTAGATTTATGTGTGTTTTTTTCCTGCTATCAAATATTATCAAAATAGTTTTTTTCTGCTCTTCAATTATTTTTTTCTTTTCCCTGCCACAAACATTCCTCTTCTGCCAAGAGAAGCCTCCCTAAACCCCGAGTCTATCCCATAAACTGTAGCACAGCAGTAAATGAGAGAAAAAACTCCAGGAACTTGGAGAGAGAAAGGGGTAGAGTGAGGGATGCACGAGCTCAGGCTGAGGCAGGGCTGGGAGCATGAGAAGTTCTGATGTTCCAGAGCAGCAGGGTATGTAGCTCTGTCTGTTTCTTCTGGTGACTCTGCCTGTGGATCTCTCTCTTCCACCTGTGTGTTCATTGAGCAAATGTTTATTGAGGAACTACTGTATGCCAGGCTGGTACTAGGATCAAAGGGGCAAAATATTTAGTAAAATATATGTTTTTGAGTGGACCTGCATGTCTTTCTTTGAGTAGCTGTGACCTGGAGGACCTCTAGGTCTGAGCGTGTATGTGCGTATGTTTGTGTGTATCTGTGAAAATTCCAAGTGTGCATGACAGCAATTGTTTTTCTTCTGCTAGCTTCAGAGGACTTCCTTTTACTTCCTGTGATTCACTTCACAAAGAGTGGGCTTAATCTCTGTTTGATTTTTATAGCCTGCAAGACTTGGGGTATGATCACTAGCAATTTAAAAACAATTAGAAAGCCCATGGAGTTCTGTTTTCCAGAAGTTTCACCTATATTTGTATTATGGAAAATAAGCATCTTATTAGCTCTAGTATCCTATTCATGATTGCAGGATTCAGGAAGAGGAAACATTGCCTGAGCCCAAGTCTCTGTTATGCCATGCTAAGGAGTGACAATTTCCACCACTGATCATTTTCTCATGGGCATTCTTGGCTTTTAGCAAAGGTAAAGCATCTTATTTTTTTAAAAAAATAGTGAGTAGTCCATTTAATAAAGGAGGTATCAGCAGGGCCTGAATGGTTCGTCCCCATGAAAGACTCCTATGAAAACCAAATAATATAGCATTGAATTAAACCAGCCTGGTTTAGTAGTTAGATTCTGTGTGATCAAATTGTTTGGGGTTATTCTCTGTCCACTTCTGTCATCTGGCAGGATATATATTCATGCCCGTTCTGCCTAGAAATATTCAAGGAGAGAGACTCTGGAAACACATTAACAAGGCTGTCTACTTTTATATTTGTTCTCCCAGGGAAACAGAAGTACCTATGTGCCAGCAGAAATGATTGCACCATCGATAAATTCCGAAGGAAAAATTGTCCATCTTGTCGCCTCCGGAAATGCTATGAAGCAGGGATGACTCTGGGAGGTATGATACTTTTCTTCCTTTTACGCCTTCTCCCTCTCCCTCCCACATTCTCTCATTCTCTCTTTAAACCAGATTTTCCTCTTTGATGCTTCCAAGGAGGCCAGCCATGCTCTAGATACAGGCTGACCCCTTCATATCCAACATGGCCATCGGCTAGCTGGTGACTCTCTTTATCCTTAACCAAATCACACCCTTCTCTGGGGCTTGGCACAGGAACAAGAGGTGTGAAGCAGAGATCAGGACCCATCAGACAGTGAGTGAATGTGGACTTGACTGTGAAAGGTTCCGCAGGGGACATAATAGTACTGGCCTTATGTTGTTAAATGGTGGCTAGGATGAGAGAATTAAGAAATCCAGAACAGTCACTGGTGCAGGATGACCCACACACAGGCTGGCGCTGAACACCCAGGAATATCCCTCAGTTAATTGTTGCCTATGTTGTAGTGCTGGCCACCTGGAATGAGAAGCTGCTTCTCTTTGGAACCTATGACTAGGTTGCCAAGCAGAGCCAATTTCCTATCCCACATCTCCCAGGGATGAGCAGACCTTTTAATCATTTCCTTTTCTTTGCAAACCTATTGATCATTTCCAAAAGCATTTTTTTTTCAGTAGCACAGTAGCTTGACAGAAGGAAGATACAGCTGTTTCAAGGGTGAACCCCCATCAAACTGCCCCCTAGTCTGTATCTACCATGAGCACTGTCATCATTCCGGAAAGGCTTGGCTGACACTTCTATTTTTCCCCCTCCAAATTCCTCATTTCTTCGTGTTTATGTCTGCTCAGTGCCAAGGTCCTCCTGCTGCTGCTGCATCCAAAAAGATGCACCTTTCATGAGAAAAGCAAGCTCATTAGTCTATTTTCATTTGGAAATGGAACCTGAAGAAAGGCAAGGTTATTTCTAAATGCCTGAAACTGTAGCCTCATACCTGATTACTCATTATCTGCTGGGAAAACCCAAATGCCTAGAATCCTGCCCTCCCCTCTTCCCCACTCAAGGCTAATTTAGAGGACTTGTCCATCTCTGGCTTTCTGTCAGGTGCTCGATACCTTGGTCTGCCTATGTGCATATTTACAGAAACCAACTTGTTTTCCAGCTATGTGTGAGTCTTCATGTGGATAACTGTACCCTGCCTTACTCACAGGCCAGTACTAGTCTTTAAACAGACCAAAGTACTACAAATGAATTGACCCAGGCTCAATTTGAGACAGTTTCAACAGAAGCATCTCAAGTAGTGTCTGAGACTCCTAGACATTGCAGGCAGGTGCTCTGTGAGTGGTTTTCCAGGCAGCCACATCAAATGAGACTCAAATATCTGAGAAAAACCAAACCTTGTTCTTGTTTGCTTGGCTTACTCCAGAGAAATCCTACCATTGTGGTCTAAGTAGGGAGGAAGAATCAGGACTGGATTGGGGGAATGCAGAAGGAAAGCTAGAAAAGGTGACAAAGGGAATGACAAAAGGAAGTTTTCTCCATGTGAATGCTGCGACCCCATGGTGAGGGTTCTGATAAAGTCAACTCTCAATTATTTAGGCTCTCTGTGAATTATATGTAAGAGAGGGGGGCTCCTAAGTAGAGAATCCCTTGGTTTTCCATCTGCTGATAGGAATTGCAAGCCTGCTTTGACATGGGTAAAGTTTAATGGTAACAAAAGTCCTCATAACATTTGGGTCTGAATATTAAAATTAGTTTCATGTCTCAGCCAACATACTCCATTAGAAAGCAGTTTGTGACGTTATTACAGTGAACCCCTTTTGAAAAGGAGTCTGTGCGTAACAGATAACTTCACTATTCCGTATAGCAGTCAGGCATTCTTGGAGACAGTAGTACAGTAAGTTTTCAAATTGATTTATTGGATAGAGTGCTCCAGTTCGAATGGGCTTGGTCAAAACAATGGAAAGAAGCTGAAAAGTGCTGTGGGTGGCTTTCATTTCAGTTCCATTTCTATGATATTTACTGAGTGTCTGCTATGTACAAGGCACCAGGCTAAGCAATAGAGCTTCAGGCTGCAAACTTCAAGAAATGTCCGCAAGATACAGGGATTTTTGGTGTCCCGTGAATGGTCTTGCCTTTGGAGTCAGGAAAACCTAGGTTAAAGGCCCAGCTCTGTGATTTACTTTGTCCCCTCTCAGCCTCAATTTCTTTGTCTGTAATTTAGAGATACCACTCTCACAGATTTATAACAGACATCAAGGGATCAGATGACATGATGAATATGGACATCCTTGATAAATGACAAAGTGCTAGACAAAGAGGATGGCTTATTATGACAATGAGGTCACTGGTAAGGCTGTTCATAGCACCTCCCAGTTGGCTTTTACCCTGAGTTATTTGGCATGCCCTAAAATATGTAACAGCTCCAACAGACAGAGCATCATCAGAAATCACTCTTGATCACCTCAAACCAAAAGTGCCATTGAGATCCTGTTTGGAAGCTGATTCTAGTAATTAAGGGAATCATATATTACATTCAAGTAATATGACAGTAAAAACCCAAATGTTTACCATCTTAGACAATATTGTTTAAAAAACAAACCTTTCCATTTTGCTAAACTTATCTCCATATTCCCTCTTTCCCTGCTGCAAACACTTCCCAAGTTTATTGTTAACTTGTAAATTCACTGTACACCACATCTTTACTGAAACAATGGAAAAAAGAAAGCAAGCATCAATAAGGGGGGCCCTTCTGAATACTTTAGCAACACACTTCCCTTTTCATAAGATTGGGTTTAGCATAGTCATTTTGATCACCTTGAAGGAGAATTCACATAATTTTGTTTGATTCTTCATCACTCAACTCAAAATTGTATAATATATTCTAAAGTGGCAACTAGGAATGTGGCCTTAGGCAAGTCTCTTCTCCCCCCCTGAGGCTCAGTTTTCCCATCATAAAACTGAGATAATGAGCTTCACCAAAGACCTGTCTGGAACTACCATTTTGTGATTTTATGTCTAAAGCCACAAAGAAACGATTATAAGTTTATCAGCCCTTTTTTGGGCTATCTGCTGTTCCCAGAAGTATAGGTAGTCTAGACCTGAGTGCTTTGTAATTTTAGCTACCTCAAGTCACACCTAAATACGGTATATTTTGTGTGTAAGAGTAGACTGGATAGATAGATTATTGAGGGAGTAGAGGGGAGAAAGGCTGTCTTTGTGTCTTAGAGAAGCTGGTACTCTGCAGCTGGTGGCTGCTTGGTCTTGAGGCCTCAGGATCTCTAATCTGTCTTTCTCTATAGTGTTCCAACTACTGTTTGGTGATGGGATCTCCTCAACTCAGACATACGTAAAAAACATAGCCTTTTCCTTCCTGCTTCTAGGCCTATATACCTGTTAATTGTTTCTGTTCTTAGCAGCTCTTGGTGTTTCTGAAAGGATCTGGGATTCTCAGGGTAGTTCCCTTAAAGACTACCTCCAGGCTCTCAACTGCTCATTCACAACAAGGATAGGCCTTTCTTTGTATATGGTTCATTTTTGGCTGCTTTTGAAAAATCATGTATTGCTAAGTGCTTCAAGAATCTAAACCCTTTGCCTACCTTTCATTTAAGAAAATACTTATAAATACACTGTCCAGAGAAGAACCTTTCCTATGGTGAATTTAGCTGCAGCTTTTTCACAGCCCATAATTAGAATAAATGCACAGCCATCTCTTATTTTTCTCTGCACTTCCCAAAGACATAATCCCAGTTTCCAAGAAGGAATGAGAAAGAAAGAATTTCCCTTATCTACCATCTTCTCCCTTGACCCTTCTCTCCTTCTCACTTTTCCTCTTATTCCTCCCCAAACATTATTTCTTTTTGTGTTTTAAAATTTTTGACTTCAAAGCTTTTAATAAATGGCATTGGCCCCTGCTTATACCCTCCTGTCCTGGACCATGGAATATGGTAGACCTTTCAGGAATTTCAGGTAGCAACCAAACCCCAGAAGAGGAGAATTAAACATGGAGCCCCAGAGTATATGAGAATCTTGAGTGTGCTGCATTTTCTTCACAGGTTACTCTAGCATATTTGAGAAGTCTCTTTCCTACTAGGAAGCCTAACTCCACATCTGAGACTCAAAACTGTTAAGAGATCTGCAGGTTTTAACAAGCTTCATGATTCTCTAGTTGGGAGGAAAGCTCAGGGAACCCCTGGCCATCGTCTAATGTCGTCGTGGACACTTTGAACATCGTTGTGGTTTCCAGTGTTGAAGACAGTCCTGATGCCAGCTCTTTCATCATTCTGCTTGCTCAAGAACAGCCCAGCATTGTTACTTCTGTATCATATGTCCTGGATGCAAGAGAGTGATTACAAGGCTGAAATACTATTCATGCCATGGTTTTTCAGGAGACAAGTTTCACAGCATTTATTCATTCATCTATCCATCCGTCCTTCCAACCAGCCAACTAGCTAGTCCTTCCATATTTCCATCCCTTGCATCACCTACTTATTCATTTAGCAGATATTTCTTGAGTGCCAATTATGTGCCAGATCATATTGTAGGCATTTGTGGGGAGCAGAGATGAATAAGATATAACGCCTGCCTCAAAAAGTTAAACAAGAGGAGGGGCCGGCCCAGTGGCACAGCGGTTAAGTTCACACATTCCGCTTCAGCAGCCTGGGGTTCACCAGTTTGGATCCCAGGTGCAGACCTACGCACCGCTTGTCAAGCCATGCCTTGGCAGGCGTCCCACATATAAAGTCGAGAAAGATGGGCACATATGTTAGCTCGGGGCCAGTCTTCCTCAGCAAAAATAGGAGGGTTGGCTGCAGGTGTTAGCTCAGGGCTAATCTTCGTCAAAAAAAAAAGAAGTTAAACAAAGGAGACAGATAATAATAATAAATACACCTTAATCTTAAAGGACAAGGAGGAAATGACTGGGAAAGAGTTGAGTGAGGTAGAAGGGAAAGGGCATTCAACGCAAAGGGCGCAGTTTGAATAAAGGCACAGAGACATAAAAAAGAATGCATTGAGAGTTTGAGGAGTAGGAAGTAGTTTAACATGGCCTGATCTGGGGAAATGGAAA